ATACAGTGCAGTTAGTCCTAAAATCACTTAACTAATCCTAACCTAACCTATACAGTGCAGTCAGCCATAAAATCACTTAACTAATCCTAACCTAACCTATTGTGTGTGACTGGAACTAATTCAATCCAAAAATCAATGAATTAATCCATAAAAAAAATCCGAATTAGATAATCCATCCCAAGACAAACCGAGTCCCAGAGAGGTCTCAGTTACCACTCAAATGTGAAGACTGAGCGTGTGAGGGGAAACTTCAGGTATTTATTTGTGTTTACCGACGGACGTTTTATCAGTAACGAGTTTATTAAAGTGTTGAGTTTGACAGTGTAATATGCTGTGTGTGTGTGGAGGTTGTCAGCAGTGTGAGGGGTGAGTGGTAATGAGACTCCTACACAGTACTAGTTTGCAGCGGTACTTGGCAGGAGCTGAGTGTCTGGCTCCCCGTCTGTTGTCTCGTGAGGGTCAGTGTTATGCTACCGGCAGACTCGTTCAGGCTACGGGGAAGTTCTTTATACAGATCGAGGGAGATGTGGTTAAGGTCCTGGACGAAGGAGAATCGACTATGGGACTCCTGTGTCGAGTTTTCAACATGTTGGGGCGAGATTTTATATGGTTTAGTTTAGCATGAAACCTTCCTCATTGTTTTCCTGGGAGTTATAGAGCCTTAAGAACGGTGTTTGTTGACCTTAATTAATGGAGAAATATTGCGGAGGTAGTGAATTGTCTTGTACCCTTTAGGTCTTGAGATATGAGCTACCCACCTTAATTAAACTACCTTGTTACGAAAGCAGCAGCAGGCTACCCACCTTAATTAAACCACCTTGTTACGAAAGCAGCAGCAGCAGCAGCAGTGTTAGAGACGGACCTCTTCCAGAAGGACGGTCTCCAGACTGGCAGCTGCCAGGTGTAGGTCACAGTGTTCTCCTCTTGCATGTTTCCCGTCAACTCTTAGGCTCTTCAATAAATCTTGCTGACTAGGCTTCACCCAAGGTCGACCTTATGAAGCTTGTGTTAACTAACGAGAGTGACTTGTCGGTTCACGTGAGGAGGCTGTTAACCTCCTGGACAAGGAAGTGTTCAAGTAGCAGCTCGTCTGGAGGTTTTCAGTAAAGTTCTTCTTGTTCTGAGGTTTTCGACCAATTCCATGGTTTACAAGAACACGTTTTCTGTGAAGATATTTAAATGAGGCAACCAAGTGAAGTGTTCCTTGGCTAGGAGGATCACATTTAATGGGTGGAAGCCTCCTTTTGAACCCTCGTTTAGGATCTATGTTCGGGAAGAAGCTTCAGCACCCTCAGCATTATGTTAGGCTGGGTCTCTTCTCATCAATCGTTTCCTCATACATTTCGTGAGAACCAGAGGGAGGAAGGGAGAAGAACGTGGTGGTAGAATCTTGAGGACACGAGAGGTGGTGGTGAGCCAGGTAGCTTAGGAGGGAGTCATGCTCCTGCCGAGGTTAGGTTAGCGGGGTTGTCAAGGCGACCTTCGGCTCCCTCTCTGGCCGCTGCTGGTTTCGCAACACTCAAACACATTGATTCGATTGGTCAAGGTTGCCGTCCTTCTGTCCAGGTGGGAACACTGCCACGCCAAGACGTATTTTTCTCCTGTGGTTCGGAGGAAAGGGGACGGGAGGGGAGGGGGCAGTTTGATCGTTCTTCCTACGAGTCTACAAAGCTCATGACTAGTATTTCAGGCTGTTGTTCATGGTTAAATAGGACGCCACAATCTCACGCTTCACGGTGGGTGCCTCGAGGGGTCCACTAACAGGCAGTGAGTCAGTTTGGGAACATTTCCGAGACGATGGTATGGTGGTTGTTCCTGAGTCTGTTTCTTCCATTAGTTATGAGATTTGTTAACTGGAATTTTCAGGTTCTGGCGTCACCTGTTTATTCTAGAGTAACTTGTGTGTGTGTGTGTGTGTGTGTGTGTGTGTGTGTGTGTGTGTGTGTGTGTGTGACACTAATACAGCCTCTGGAGTTATCTTGGTCCCGGGAACGTGGTCTACGTTTACTAGACGCAATAAGGAATTTTACGTCGGATAATTTTTAATAAGCCATCATAAGGTTGACTGGTGTCACGAGTAGCAAGGCTTCTGACCCTCTTGTTGTAAGGAGGGATGATGGTTTTGTTTCTTGTGATCCTTATCTGTCGTGGGTCACGACTTGTCATGTTCTTACCAAAGAATCAAACTCGTAGCTTTAGGCCTGAGTCTGTGTTACCATGCGCGGTAACTTGACGACGGCTCACGTCATCACTGTCTGAAGGCTGTTCATGATTATTTACGGGTGACGGCTCACTCGACGCTGTGTTCCTTGATCATAAATCAGAGCTTCCGCAGGACATATCTAATGTCATTATCAAGGCTGTCAAGAGTGAAGCTCACGCAGCCTGACAGCGTTCCTGGAGGACATGACCTGAGGGACACTGTGTCCTCCTTGACCCTCCTGCTTCACTTGTCCTCACGTCAACCCGGAGTGGAGGAGGCTGGGCTACTTCGAGGACTTTCATCGTCAGATATCTCAGGTACAAATTTTAACCCGAGGTCCGAGGAATCGCGGAAGGAGAGTACCACTCCCATACACTGGTTGGTGGGCATGGCTCCCTCAAGAAGGTGAGATGCTCCGGCAGCCTCGGGAGCTTACAGTACTATTGCCTTCTACCTCCCTTTAGCTCCACCAGTCGCCCTAAATGTACGTAGGCTATAAATGAGAGATTGATCTTGATGTGTGTTTTATAACTGATGACAGGTGAGACGACTCAGAGTCCCTATATCTTGTGGGGTGTGTTGACGTGATCTCTGGAATTTAAGTTGTTGGTCGTAGATTGTTGTGTTGTAGCCCACGATTGACGACCTTGGGATGCAGCCACGGCACACTCTTAACCTTCGGCATAGGAGTTAGGATTTTTTTTCTGTTTATTTACGTGTTTTAATTTTTTTTCTGTTTATTTACGTGTTTTAATATTTTTTTTCTGATTTAGTGGCAGTGACACACACGAGGGGTCGAGAGACTTGGGTTTTCAACTTCATGGACCTGTTGAGTGAACATAACTGTTTTGTACGCGAGTGGCCGATATTAGCATTACAGTATATATATCTGGAGGAACAACACAATAAGCTGACAGGTAGACGGCAATCCTTAACCTACCATCACAAGTAACTTTATTCTGTGGCACCTTAAGCCTATAAATGATATATATACAAGACTATTAAAAACAATGGAGGGATCCTACACTAGTCACACCTCACCTTCCCTCGGCATGGCCACCTCAAGTTGCGGAGGCCAAGTAAAACAAGTATATAAACACACCTTAATGTTACAGTAGTTCCAATACAATCACGACACTCAGCCCAGGTAAACCAGGTACTCCTTTAGGTTACAGTGGTGCCAATGCCAACAGTCACAACTCTCAACACAGCTTCTGACTTTCGACTTCATTACAGCCAAACAGTTTCACTCGTCAGCCTTTCCATCACAGACTGTATCGCTTATTTCTCTCTCAAAATTCGTTTTATGATCATATCTTAACACTAAAGGACAAGCCGGTACCAGTCAGTCAGGTTGTGGCAGGAGAGTCAGTCAGGTTGTGACAACAGTCAGTCAGTCAGGGTGTGACAGCAGAGTCAGTCAGGGTGTCTTAGAATAGGATGTAGGTGTAGCTACAGCAGCCATACGGTGAGGTACCAGAGGGAGAGATGGAGGGTGTAGAGCCACACTCCTACACCCTATGGTCAGTCCTGCTATACGCAGTCCCAGTGAGGCGGAAATGTTCGATACAGCTGGTGGAAGGAATCACATGTTGGGTACCAGTAAACACTCGCCGTTAGAAGATTTTGTAATTAATAATGGGTAGAATAATAAGGAGTGGTGAGGGTGAGATGCATCCTCTTCCCACTTGGCCTGGGGCGAGGGGTGTGTGAGAGTGTGTGTGTGCGTGTGTGTGCAAGATTCGTGAGGCGGGTGGGTGGGTGCGTGGGCGGCAGACTGTTGCCACACGCCACCAGCTTCTTGCACTCTCCCTCCGCCAACACCGCCCAGTAAGCTCACTCATAGCTTCCTTCTCTCTCCTCTAATGTTGTCTTACTCTCTATATAACCTTCAACGTAGACGTTATGATATGTAAGCTGTGACACACGTACATATAATTAGCTTTGGTAACTGTTTTGCCGTATGACCTTAGCTTTTTGTGAGACCAATGCCTAGGAAGTTGAATATTTTTTTTCACTTTGGCGCTAAAATTCAAAAATTTAGATAATTACCATTACATATACTTTTCTGACCGCTGCGACCAACATGTTTGTTGTACATGACTCATTTGACGGTCACACCTTGCTTTTCTCATTACTAAGATTCACTGTTTCCTAAAATTGAATTATGATGGCATAGGATGGTAGATGGGAGCCAGGCTGTCTGACATTTTAAATATCGTACTGCAGATAACTACGGTAACAAACTTAGATTGTATTATAAGAAATGATTCCACAATTTACACTCGGCGGAGTAGAGGTGGTGATAGAGTGATCACCATGTGAGTAGATTTAAGGAGCCTGGCACGTGGAGAGAGAAGTAGAGAGGAGAGAGCGGCGTATGTCTGGCAGTGGGGTTGACGCCTGGGGCAAAATGGGCAAGCCCACCGCCACGACGCCAGCAAGTAGTAGTAACACTTGCCTTATCGCCAGCCGCCACCCCCACCCCTATATGACGAACACAACCTATACTGTTACAAATTGTTTACCTTAGAAAAATATACAATTTAACTCTAAATTATATCATTAACAGTATCCTATCATACTGCTGACAGAATTAACACTGTTTAGTTAAAATTTAGCTTATAATGTGGTCTCTGAGTTGCCCGCGCACTCCCTTGCTTTACGTTTTTCTTCTCATCTCGTCCCGACCAATCAGGTTCCTCAACATTACGTAGTGCTGAAGAGCGCGGCCAGTGAGCGTGCAAGTTGATGACATCATAGCTAAAAATAACTCCGTATATATATTACGGTTCATAGGGGTGGATTTCAGTGGCCAAGAGTGCAGTGCGATGGTAGGGCGAGGGGGCTGTCTGGAGCGGGGTGTAGATGACCAGTCAGGACATATACACCGCTATCAAGTAACAGGATACACTTTGTATAGAGAAAGAGGGAAAGGCAACGCTCTTCCCTGATAGAGCTATAGTAGAGGTATGTATTACATGCTCCATCCCTGATGTTTTGCCCGTAATCTCTGCACATTGCATCTCTAGGCTTCAAATAATGTTGCAAAGTCCAATGTTTAAGCTTGGTCAAGAATGAACTGTCATTCTGCCGGCCAAGTATTATTATTATGACTTGTTATTGTGTATCATAAATAAAAGTAAATGGCAATCGCCTTTTCAGCAAGTGTGCATAATGACGGCAATATATCTTAATACACTACATTAAGTTACTTATAAAACTCCGAATATATTGTATTGTTATGTCATGTAGCTTGAACACTTGTACTTAATGATAATAATGGTTATAAAATACTTGGTAAATAGCAGCGACAGCAACAATGGAAATGTAGGTGTGGCACTTGATGCGGGAGGGGCACTGGTAATAGTAAACTGGTTGTACCGGGTACTGTATCTATTTAAGAAGCACCTATATATTATTATAAAGGGAATATTAACATTGGCATTAAAATAGATATTATAGTAGTAACTGCTGGGTGGGTTAGCAGCTATGCGTAATTTTCACGGTGCTCTGAGTGTGGCTAGTGGGGGGGGCCTCCTGGAAGGCGAAAGCAAAGTAAACCCAACAGGAAAAGCTTGCGTTAACATAATTCGCAAAATTTTGGACGATATATTTTGTATTCTTTTTTTAATCATATTCGCCACTTATCGGCTTACAAGCCGTTTGGGTGCTCTATCCAGTGTTGGTACAGGAGGAAACCGGGAACCTACGGTGTTTGGTAATTAAATGAAGATGATCTGTAGTTCCTAGTTAATATTGTTATTATTTTTATAAATCCACTATGCATTGAAAACATGAGACTTTGATACATCTATGAACAACATTTGTAATGGGTGTATTTATTAAACTCATTATATAAAAGATTCCCTGACCGTCGGTTGAAGGTGTAAAATTTTCTTGTTGATCCGTCGCCAAAAAATATGGTGGATTATTGTATTAATCCCAGTTTCATCGGGTACTAAAACATTATAAGGTTAAGCATTACGTTAGATTAGGTTAGTAAAGTGTATAATGTTAGGGGTCACGTAATGATAAGTTAGGGGTGACCGCGGTATTTCAGGGTACGTCAAGTTGGGCTAAATTCGTTACGGGAGAATTAGGTTTGAATTTTTAAGTTATATCTCTTTAAGGTAGGTTAGTTTATGTTACGTTACGTTGGGCTTGGTTACATTGTATTTAGTTTGGCTATATTAGATGACGATAGGGTAGTTTTGGTTAGGTTAGGTTGTTACGTTAAGCGAGGTTAGGTTACGTTGTGTTGGGCTTAGCTACATTATATTTAGTTTGGCTATATTAGATTAAGATAGGGTAGTTTTGGTTAGGTTAGGTTGTTACGTTAAGCGAAGTTAAGATTCGTTCCGTTACGTTAAACTAGGCTAGGTTCTCTTACTATACAATAATTTAGGTTGTTACGTGAAGCTAGATTAGGTACTATTACGGAATGTTAAGCTAGGTTAGGTTAGGTTTTGTTGTTACGTTAATGTAAGTTAAGTTAGAAGGATCTTTGTGTGTGTGTTTAAAGTTGTGGATTCTGGTGTAAGTACGAACGTGTGTGTGTGTGTGTGTGTGTGTGTGTGTGTAAGGTGATGATTCTGGTGTAAGTGAACGTGTGTGTGTGTGTGTGTGTGTGTGTAATTCTGGTGTAGTACGAACGTGTGTGTGTGTGTGTGTGTGTGTGTGTGTGTGTGTGTGTGTGTGTGTGTGTGTGTGTGTGTGTGTGTGTGTGTAGTACCCACATTCCTCTTGGCACTCATTATGTTGAGACACACCCACTTGCTTATAAAGTCTCACACACCCACACCTACCATGAGAGAAGCTGGGGACATTCTTTACTTGATAACATTTCCATTTGACAGACATTTACACGTGTACACATTCACACAGGTACGTAAATATAAACTGCAAATATTCATGTATGTATAAAGATTCAGAAAATACTCACACACATACAAACATACATACATACATACATACATACATACATACATTTACTCACCACGCGTTCACACACTTTCTCACTTGCACCAGAATTCATACCTTTGAATATTAACTCACACTAACTTAAGCATAAACACACACACACGTTCGTACTTACACCAGAATCATCACCTTCACACACACACACACACACACACACACACACACACACACACACACACACACACACACACACACACACACACACATGTTGCTGCTATACATTAAGCATATTACTTACACACACGTCTGTACTTACACCAGAATCATTAATGCACCTTACACACACACACACACACACACACACACATACACACATACACACACATACACATTTACACACACGTTCGTATCTTTACACTATAGAACCATCACCTACACACACACACACACACATACACATACATACATACATACATACATACACATTTACACACGTCTGTACTTACACCAGGAATCATCACCTACACACACACACACACACACACACACACACACACACACACACACACACGTCTGTACTTACACCAGAATCATCACCTTACACACACACACACACACACACACACACACACACACACACACACACACACACACACACACATACACACACACACACACACACATTTGAGCACACGTTCAGCTTCCTTACACCCAGAATCATCACCCCACACACACACACCTGACTTTGGCTGGGACAAGGAGTATGCGTGAGCTATGAATAGCAATGTTGTTGGGTCATGAGTCACACCAGAAGTTCAGGCTCACGGCAGAGGGTAGGGGGGGAGGGCATGGTAGGGGGAGGAAGCACTTGCATGGGGTGGTGAGGGAAGCACTTCAATGGGTATGGGGAGGAAGCACCACATGGGGTGGGGAGGAAGCACTATGTCATGGTATAGAGGAAGCACTTCACATGGGTAGGGGAGGAAGCACTTGGCATGGGTAAGTGGAGGAAGCACATGGGTAGGAGGCCACTTGCATGGGTAAGGGGAGGAAGCACTTGGCATGGGGTAAGGGGGAGGAAGCATCATATGGGTGGCAAAAGTGGGAAGCATTCTGGCATGGGTAAGGGGAGGAAGTACTAAGAGCGGTATGAGGAAGCACTTGCATGGCAGGGGAAGAGGAAGTACTTGGCATGGGTAAGGGGGGAGGAAGTACTTGGCATGGGTAAGGGGGGAGGAAGTACTTGGCATGGGTAAGGGGGGAGGATATATTTGCTATATTAGAGTTAGTGATATATTCTGTAATCTTGACCCTCTTGAGTACTATATAAACCCACGAGTACAGTGTAAAGGGGGATTGAGTACGATATTTTAACCCCATAAGTACGATGTTAAACCCGAGTACAATACAGTGAAAAAGAGGATTGAGTACGTTATTTTAGCCCCTTGAGTACGATGTGTAAACCCTTTGAATAAGATGGACTAATCCCTTAATTATGACATTGTATTTAAAGGGTTAATTATGAAACCCTTAAATTATCCCTTATCCCTTTGAGGACTATGATTTAACCCTTTGAGGACGTTGATTTAACCCTTTAAGGGCGGTGATTTAACCATTTGAGGACGATGATTTAACCCTTTAAGGACGGCGAATTAACCCTTTAAGGACGGCGATTTAACCCTTTAAGGACGGCGATTTAACCCTTTGAGGACTATGACTTAAAGTATTCATGGAAGTTTATCTTACCTTAAATCCTTTAAAAATCACCCGTATCTTGTTTAAACAGAATTCCCTTATTTTACCTTAAATTTGTTGTCTTACCTTAATAATTCCCTTATTCCAAAACACAATCCGTTATCTTTCTAAGTTCCTGTATTTTACCCTAAAAATCCCTGAATCTTAACCCTAAAAATCCCTGCCTTACCCCAGTACCCTCGTAGACTAGACAAGTTTTACTAAATACACAAATTATAGATCAATTTGGCTATAAACTAAATAAACAAATTAGAGGTCGATTTGGCTATATTTCGCGTCGGGAAGGGTAAACACTCGCTAATGGCTACAGTTACTCGCCAGATTGAACGCCTATTCGACAATACCGATCGGCAGCGCTTACCTTCTTGTGTACTGGGTCTGTTGTAAGACTAGCGATGTCATCTTAAAATTATATCTAGCGCTTGTGAGACCTCACCTGGATTACGCAGTTCAGTTCTGGTCACCGTATTACAGAATGGATATAGAATCCTTGGAAGGAATCCAGAGGAGAATGACAAGACTAATCCCGGGCATTAGGAACCTTGAATACAGAGACAGGTTAAAGCATCTTAATTTGCACTCCCTCGAGAGACGTAGAGTGAGGGGCGACATGATAGAGGTGTATAAATGGAAGTCAGGGTTAAACAAAGGGGACATTACAAAGGTACTCAAACTATCCGACCGGGAGCGAACACGTAACAATGGTTTTAAATTAGACAAATTTAGATTTCGGCGTGAAATAGGTAAACACTGGTATGGAAACAGAGTAGTGGATGAATGGAACAAGTTACCAAATATCATCATTAACTTGAATACGCTGAATAGCTTCAAACATAGGTTGGATGCTTATATGAGCAATAGGGGTTGGGTGTAAACAGGACTGCCCAGTATGGGTCAATAGGCCTGCTGCAGTTTACTCCGTTCTTATGTTCGTTCTTATGTTCTTATGTTCTTCTTGGAGATACTGTATTGTATTAGTGAAATTATTATTATTATTACCGTCGTTATTTTTATTATTATGACCATCGTTATTATTTTTATTATTATTATTATTATTATTATTATTATTATTAATATTATTATTATTTTATTATGTACACAGTAATCAGTAACGCTATATTATAAATTATCCAGTAGGAGTGACATATTGTAATTGATGTAATTATTATTATTATTATCTAACATTGTGGTGGTGTATTTTTTACTGTTGTATTAATTAGCTGCGGTATTATCAGTGTAATTAAAGTACAGTGGACAGATTCAGGACAGATCAAATAGACGGGCGTGAGACG